GTTTCTTAAATGTATCAAATTCTAGTTTGAAAATTTTCAGCTGTATAGAAGCTATACATGAACAAGAAAATAAATACAGATCCTTCATTGGCCTTCGGTTTTTATTTTACATGCAGTAGATAAAATGATTAAAATCAGCTTCATTCTAAACTCACATTACAATGCTTGTCAATATTGTTATTTTTTTGGTGGGGGAGGTTGGGGAGAGGGTTGTTTTAAGATCTGTGAGATAGATCCATCTCGCAGTAAAAAGAACACTACAATAGTAGATATGATTTATCTATTTTGTTATTCTTTCCAATAACTTTTAACAAATCTTCACTGAGAAACTCTCATTTTCATTTGCAATACTGCAGTTACATTCTTCACAAAGACAGTTTTGTGTCTTTTCTTTACACGTAGAAACCCCCCCAATCATCTGAAATATTAAAATGTTACTACCTACCTTTATCAGCCATTAAAGAGTGTCTAGTTTAAAAACACAGAAGATAAGTATATTGGATAACACCCACACTCTCTAAATCCATAAATCTGGGTTGAAAAGTTCAGCCTGAATAATTCCTGAATACTTGGTCTGAGATTTGTTGAACTCAGTCCAAGTTTTGGGATTCTTGAATGTCAACACATGGAAATATCTTCTCAGAGTATTAGAAAGAGACATTAGAACAAAAGTGCATTCTAGAGAAGGGCAGAAATATGATTTCAGTTTATCAGGTCTGTCAGAGACTCTCCCTTCCCTGTTCTGTGTGTTTATGAGCTATAGGAAAGTTGGCACTGAATTTACCATTTCACAGATTATTGCCTGTTTCCTGCCATGGGTAGCAAAACCTTCTCACCTATGTAAAGTCTCCTAAAGGGGTCCTTCCAGCGACTTTTCAGTTGGGCTGGGTGTGACACAGAGGCCCACTGAGGGCTCACTACTTTGTGTCAGCAACTCTTGTCAGGCCTGACATACTCACTACACCTCACACACTGGTGTCATAATCTGGATTTAGAAGTGTCATATAATATATAATTTGAGAAGTAATGACACACTGGTGATTAATATCATTGTGAAATGTGTGTGTTAACACTCTGTGAGGAATTATGGATGTTCACTGAGTCTGTGACCAAAGGGAGAAAAAAGTTTTCTCCCAGACAGGAGGGAAGGCAGCTATCTACCTGTCTCCAATCTAAATTAAGCAAGGTGTGACCAAAGACAGACAAAAGCACATTTACATGCAAGGTAAACAAAGCCACCAGGTGATCCCTAACTACTTAACAATCTCAATGGGGGTTGGAGATTGCACCCCCAGGAAGCCTTCCTGCCTCTTGAAGCAGGGCCAATGAACTTTGGGAAGATATAAGCAGGGAGAAAAGGCCATTTTGGCATCTATCACTTGAGGGATTAAAGGGGTCAGAGCTCTTGAAATCACAGAATGTTGGATCCTTCAGCCAAGGGGTTGAAGTCTCTGGGAACTGAGCACAGGTGAGAAACATGCTGAAATTAAGTTTTAGTCTTAAAAGCGTATTTTTACTTTTGTTTGCTTGTGACCCCTTCTAGCTTTATACTTGTATCACTTAAATGGAGGACTTCTTGTTTAATAAACTTGTGTTACTTTTATGATAAACCAATTCGGTGCTGTGATTAAAATAGTGTTTGTCAAACCCCAGTTAAATGAATGAGTTGCTGTTCACTGTCTCATTAACGGAGCAGTGAACTTAACTCAGTGGTTCTCAAACTGGGGCCGCCGCTTGTGCAGGGAAAGCCCCTGGCAGGCTGGGCCGGTTTGTTTACCTGCCCCGTCCACAGGTCCGGCCGATCACGGCTCCCACTGGCCGCGGTTCGCTGCTCCAGGCCAATGGGAGCTGCTGGAAGCGGCGCAGGTCGAGGGACTTACGTGGTCGCCGCTTTCAGCAGCCCCATTGGCCTGCAGCGGCGAACCGCGGCC